TGGGTCTGTCCAAATCAGGCGCGCCTTTTCCCTAAGTTGTAAATTTAAAGCTTCTTCTTTATTTATTTTAACCCTATCTACATTGCGCTTAAGCAAAACTATCAGCTCTGGCCACCTAGTTTCAGCGGCAGACAGAGTTATAAAGAAAGTTGACAAACCAAACTGGCGACTGGAAATCTTCATCAAGTACGTTAGCAGCTGTTACAACGCTGGACGCGCTGCGCTTACGTAAGCAAGTTGAAATATTGTTTCGAACTTAAATCTGTTCCAACTTCTTATAATTTAAGAATTATTTGTCAGTTCTACAAACTCTTCATTTACGTTCCTAAGTTCAGACCTATATACGGTTGTATAACTCTCTGAAGATGGTCTCTTGACGCCAGCATATATGCTTGGGAACGATAATTCTTCAGAGTCAGCATCGAGAATCACGTCGAGAGGTCTTTGGCCCTCACCTGGAGTCATTGTAATTCTCGGAATTCCTACATTGCGTGTCTGGTTATTCTCAAGCATAGTTTCTTGTCCTCCAGGATTTAGCTCTTCCGCTCCCGCATTCTCATCGGAATTAGTCGCCTCCGAACTTACTAATGCTAAGTCAGCTTGAGATGCTATGAAGGGAACAGTTTCGGATGTAAAATCAGACACTGCTCGTTTACTGAGATCTAATAGCGTCAGCAATTTTGGAAGGCCTAATTGTCTCTAACATGAAATCATGTCCGTATTCCATTCTTCGCTTGGGGTGGAGCTGTATATCCTCAGCTTTATTGAAAGCTCGTGGGAGAGACGTCACAATATTACTTACTGGAATTGGAACATTTACAATAGCCCCTTTTATAGCTCATGACCTATCGACTTAATAATCATAAATGGAAGGCAAGGTGAAATCAGTCGTTCCTCCAAGGGAGTAAGCCCACTTAAGCAATGATGAATTTGTGGGAAATATAGGCCGTTGGAAATGGCACATATGCATATCTGATAAAAGACATATCAGAACGATTTACAAAGCTGTAAAGTTTTTCGCGCCAATTTTACGTGCTCGGATTTTCGGTCCTTTTACTCCAATCTTCCGTCTCATTTGGCCCATGTGAATGCACTGCCGTAAGAGAAAATGGAAAGAAAAGAGAAAATTGTAGCAATTTAAATCATACATTAACCTGATCGGAATTAGGTAAATAATATTGGCAGACCAATGAACTGATGTTAGAGTAGAGCCAAAAAGTGGAAAAAATTAAGTTGCTTATTATTCAATAGAATAAGTTAGCCCCGCACTCTGCTTTCTCTTAGCATTGGCCTTTCATTCTCATGTTTTTATTCCGCTTTTGTTTCAGCCTGCGCCAAGAAAGAGAGGGCAAGACATAAAATAGACCAAATACATTTATATTAATATATGTTTATTAAGCATCAACAAACAACACAATAATAGCAATAGGTAAATTGGCCAGAGGACAGAGGGGAAAAGGACAAATAGCTTAAATTGTTGTTCAATAGAATATGTTAGACGCTCACTCTGCTCTCTCTTAGCGTTGGTAGCGCTTTTTGCTTTGCCGCTAAGTTCGGCCGGCCACTATTTACATACACACATGCCTAAAAACATTTCGCACTGTCTGGCTCTGACGTCATAGCATTTCTTCTGGGGAGGCTGTGAGCGTTTGAATGGGCGTTTTTTTGAGTAAATCGATAGGTATTGATGGGACCAATACATTTCAGTTAATTTTGTATTTCTAGCATCAAAACTGTGGGCGCCACAGTTTTTCGCGGCTTGTGGGCGTAAGAGTGGGGGTGGCATATTCGCGAAACAGACTTGCGTACAAGGCTACGGTGTTCAGTCCCACGGTACTTGGTTCGTACACACAGCTGATAGCCCTGCCAACTGAAGACGAAGGTCAGGACATCTGGCAACTCGACAGAGCTTGCGAAAAAGAAAAAAAAACTACGAGCTTCAGCGACCGGAACAACATCGTCTGCATTTACTTTCTGTCCAGTGCGACCCATTTATTTGTAAAGTTAATTAATGATCAAGAGTGAAGTGTACACATTATGAGCTAATGAATTAAAGGCTAAATTGTTATCTTTGAACTTCAGTCGTTTACCTATTCCCAATAGCCCCTCTTACGATAACAGCCGTACATAGCATTTTCGGCACGGCGTCACAACTTAACACTACGGAATCTAAATCTGAAATCCCAATTCTCTATCTTTGATAGTTTCCGAGATATCCGCGTTCATATTTACGATTTTTTGAAGTTTGTGGGCGGTTTACGGGCGTTAAAGTGGGCGTGGCAAACATTTTTTTGCGTCAATCGTAAGGAATTGATAAGAACAATACATTTCAGTTAAAAATTGTACTCCAGCATCAAAACTGTAGAAGCCACCATTTTGAGCGGTTTGTGGGCGTAACAAATAAACTTGCCCTGCGCAGAAGTCTCAGGAATCTGCATGGCAAATCCCAGTATTGCAGCTCTTATAGTTTCCGAGATCTCAGCGTTCATACGGACAGACGGCCATGGCTAGATCGACTCGGCTAGTGATCCTGATCTAGAATATATATGTGAGCCGGTAGATTGGACACAGGTTGGCAGTCCTTATCAGGCTGCGTTCTAAAATGATATTCGACAGTCCACCACCATCAGCCGAATCAAGAGACAGAGAAGTTGTGAAACAAAGTCGTTGGTCAAAAAGTAGTAATTTCAGTCGCAAAATAAGTTGAAAAGTCGCGTTAATTAATATCAAAACTTATGTAACTCTTATATATACAAACTATTATATTCCTAAACTTTATTAATAAACTACAGATAATATCCAATTATCTTACATGGGGGCTCAACCGTCGAGCAAGTGAAAAATCTGTTGGTGTGAGTGAATGTCGTTTGATTTCGGGGAAAAACCGAACACTTTGAATTGGACACTACAAAAAAGTTGGTGAAAATAATTCGCTCCGCGAAAAAGAACAAAAAACGCAGTCCAGGTGGAAACCAAAAAAACCACAAAATGAAACCAGAAGATTCGCAAAATGCAGCAGCAGCGGTAAATATGAATCACACTTTCTTCGTGCCGCCTGACGAGGAAGAGAAGGGAAATAATATCGAGGAGCAAGTTAAGTTCGCTAGTAGTAGTGATTTAACACACGAAGTTGAATTTCAACAGGAGCTGAAATACAGCAATAATTGCGAAGAAGTCTACACCAACAGCAGCGAGTTGAGCGAAGTGCTAAAACTGCTTGCTACAAAAATTGTGCAAAGTTATTCAAGCAGGACCCTTGTTCCAATTGAGAGCTTCTCTAAAGTTGTCTCCGATTTTGATGGAGTGTGAATTCCAATTAGACAGTGGCTTAAATGTTTCAACGAAAACGCCAGTGCCTACGAGCTAACGAATTCTGAGGCATATTTTGCCGGTCGCTTGTAGATCTAAGCATACGAACACGTTGTTCTCGAGGGAAGGTGTTTAAGTGAACGCATTTATTGCTAGTTTCTGACAACGCCAGTCTCAGACAACAATATACGGCCTCCTGAGCAGAGATCTCAGTGCACGAAATAAATTTGTGACCAAGATACTGTAGCTTTTGACGAATGCTTGAATTGCCTCTTCGAGTGTCATTAGCTGTTTCTCGCATTAACTTCGAAATACCCCTTTGGGATTTGTTAATATAATTAATTATGTAGCTACAGCAAGCAAAAGGGTTCAAAATTAACTGGATATCCATATTTGCCCTTTGCATAGATAGAATCTGTTTATTATAAGCATTAACTTGAATTTCTGCAAACGTTATCTTTAGAAAAATCTGTGGTTTTTTCAATCTAGACCTAATAGCATATATGTAGTCCTCGTAACTGAGGCTTTTTTTTAAATATGCTGAGATGGCTAAACAAATCATCTGATTGATACGAATTTTTTTTAAAGTTTTCGTGGTGAAGAGAAAAGTTTTGAGTTTCTTCAGGAAGTGGCTTCAATATTTCCGTTTGGGGCATTGGAGGATATGGAATACCGAATCGACAAACAGATTGACCGCGCACCTTCTTAAGACACGAGTGTCCGTGCTTATGCTTTTGGTATTCAACATACGGAGCCAAATTTGTGTTTGTAACATCCGCAATAACAAACTGATCAATGAAGGCTATAACATTCAGGCAAAACATACCGTGAATATGAGGTGAACCTCTCCGTTGAAACTCAACTCGTCAATAATAGGTAGTAACAAAATTACTTTCAAAGATACCCCCAGGTTTCTTCGTTAAATTAAAATCTTTCATATATATATTATAAAAATATCTAGCACACGTCAGTGGGTCTGTTTTAATCAGGGGCTCCTTTTCCCTAAGTTGTAAATTTAAAGCTTCTTCTTTATTTATTTTAACCCTATCTACATTGCGCTTAAGCAAAACTATCAGCTCTGGCCACCTAGTTTCAGCGGCAGACAGAGTTATAAAGAAAGTTGACAAACCAAACTGGCGACTGGAAATCTTCATCAAGTACGTTAGCAGCTGTTACAACGCTGGACGCGCTGCGCTTACGTAAGCAAGTTGAAATTTTGTTTCGAACTTAAGTAGGGTGTATTTGTATGTTCTGGATAAAACGATGGTGTATTTGTATGCTCTGGATAAATTTGTATTGTATGTTCTGACTCACTGTTTCGCTGGTGCGGGGGCGCTTATCGCTTGCGTAAGTTGTTGTTGTGGAAGTTGCTAGTGCCGCGCTCACTCCCCCTCCCACTCCCCCTCCCAGTTCCCCTCCCGGTTGTCCTCCCGCTTGTCCTCCCGCTTGTCCTCCCGCTTGTCCTGGTGCTTGACCCTCTGGGGGTTGCGCTCACTCCCCCTCCCACTTCCCCTCCCACTTCCCCTCCCCCTCCCCGTATTTATTTATTTTATTGAAATATACTACACAAGTATTTTATCTCTCTTTCTTTTCAGATTTTTTTCGTCTCGCAAACTGGTATAAATATGAGATGTATAGTACTGGGGTAATTCAGAAAGCAGAAGTCAAATTCAGAGCAAGAACTCACTTACACTATTTGAAGAGTCCTTCATCATCAGCATTATAAGCAGCAGCAGCAGCAGTAGCAGCAGCAGCAATATGTCTGACTTTGGAGAACAGTTTAACGAGCTTGGGGCCGTCTCTCTGCCCCCAATAAAGAGTGTTAAGGCTCTCCCGTTTGACACACCGATTGTGATAAAGAACGCTGAAGTGAAGCAGACACGCTTCGGCGCTAAAATTATGCTCACACTTGAAGATTTTGTGGTGTTCTTACCAGAACGCTTTAGTACTCTGTCATCGCAAGCTGTGGAGCACATGGCGACGGGGGGCTACAAGCTAGTCAAACTTAAATCAGAAGGGGATAATTATATTTTAAATTTTTGTAACGAATAAGAAAAAAATAAAATAAACTTTTTTTATAAATATTTAAAACAAAACAAAAACAAAAATGGGTGATGCTTTACATAACAATAACAATCCTGGGCCTAGTAACACAAATCCTGCCGCTAGTGAAATACGATATTGTGATGTCTGTAATCTAAATGTTGCTAAAATTAGTTGGTCGCATCACTTACGCACCAACTTGCATAAACAATTATCTGGTGCGCAAATAAGTGATAACTTGCGGTGTATAAGAAGTGCATTTCGGAATCGTGTTGAAACTTATATAATCACAAATCCAAATAAAGAATGCTTGGATATCAATTTATTTCAACAATCAATCAAAGAAGCTCAAAAAAAACATGTCAATATCAAATTTAATTTTGAACAATTCTGTAATTATGTTTTGATTAAAGAGAGTGAAGATCATTGTGAAATCAATCTAAAGTCATTTCAAACAAAAATGCAAGTCTTAAATCCAACAATGAGTCAGACTGAAAATCTAAATGAAATAATCAAAAATTTAAATGACTATATAAAAAGTGAGATGAGCGAGTTTCAAGAACGAGACAGTGGTTGGTCCCTAATTGAAATAGTTCATTTAGAAGTTAATATAAATAAATATCAGCTAATAAAGGGCTCGAATTTCATTGGTTTACCAAGAGAAATAGTAAACAGAAAAGCCTGCATCAACGTGCAAAATAGAGACGAATATTTTTTTAAATGGGCATTTATATCGGCTTTTGTGAAATTACCTTGTAATAAGAATCTACCCAATCAATATAAACGTAAAGGCATTTACAACATTGGATCGGATATAATAAATATAAATAATAAATCATTAAATTTTAGTGGATTAAAATTCCCCACACCGGTCGACAGCATAAAAATATTTGAAGAAAATAATCCTGAAATTAGTATAACTGTGTTGGGTGTAGACAGCGATGAAAAGACAATCATCGGTCCATATTATTTAACTAATAATAAAACTGACAACGTTTTACACACTATATATCTACTACTTCTCGAGAAGGATGACAAATATCACTATGCTTGGATTAAAAATATTTCCAAGTAAGTATTAAATTAGAAAATTAAAAAATAAAAAAAATTATATTTATTTCTTTGATTCTCCATTAGATTACTTCGCAAACAAATAACGAAAAGTACGAGGAAGATTCATCTATGCAATGGCTGTTTTCTTTATTTCTACGATAGCGACAAACTGGAACGACATATTATGGAGTGTAATAGAATTATAACTGAGATGCCTACAAATGAAACGGCGACTTTAAGATTTAAAAATTTAAAAAATCAATTAGATGTTCCTTTTGTAGCATATGCTGATTTTGAGTGTATTTTAGAAGGGATGAATCTGAAAACTTCGGATAACATAAATTTGATTCAAAAGCACATACCGTATGCATATAGTTATTATATAAAGTGTTCATTTGACAATAGTTTGGATATATATCGAATATATTATGGTGAAGATTGTGCAACACATTTTGTTGAGAGCATATATAATGATTGTTTAGTGTTATATCAAAATCACTTAAATGTAACGATACCCTTATATCCGCTATCAATGGAGCAACAAAAAATAATTGACTTAGAACAAAATTGTAGTATATGCGGTAATATTTTAACTGAACAATCTAAAAGAGTTCTAGACCATTGTCACTTAACAGGCAAATATAGACGTGTAGCAATAATTGCAATTTAAACTATAAATTAGCAAAATTTTTCCCAATATTTTTCCATAATCTCTCGGCATACGATGCTCATTTATTTGTAAAAGAATTAATTAAAATTCCTGGTGATATTTCTATAATTCCGCTAAACAAAGAGTTTTATATTTCGATCTCAAAGAAAATTTATATAAATCCCAATGAAACGTTAGAACTTCGATTTTTAGATTCATTTAGATTTATGCCTTCCAGTTTAGACAGCTTAGCCAGTTATTTAAAAGAAGAAAATCTAACCACAATAAAGTCATTTTTCACGGACCCGAACAAATTTCAAATGGTTAAACGTAAAGGCATATTTCCGTATAGCTATTTAAATTCAGTTGAACGCTTGTCAGATACACAATTACCGTTGCGCGAAAATTTTTATAACCAATTAACTGATAGACACTGTTCTGAAGAGAGTTATCAGCACGCTCAAAACGCTTGGAATGCCTTCGAGTGCACAAATTTATTAGATTATTTATTATTATATTTGAAAGTAGATGTGCTGTTGCTATGTGATGTTTTGGAGAATTTTAGAACAGTATGTAAAAAAATCTATAATTTAGATCCTTGTCAATATTATACAACTCCTGGTCTATCGTGGGATGCTATGTTGAAGACAACTAAAATTGAATTAGAACTACTCACAGATATTGATATGTATAATTTTATAATGAAAGGTATTAGAGGTGGTCTTGTTCAATGTAGTAAACGTCATTCTATTGCAAATAACAAATATCTAAATAACGATTACGACTGTGAGAAAGAATCAAATTATATTGTATACTTAGATGTTAATAATTTATATGGGTATGCTATGTCACAAGCTATTCCGTATAAAAATTTTAAATGGCTAGAAGAAACAGAAGAGGGAAATTTTGAAAATTTTGATTTAAACACGTGCGTAGATGATCAACCAATTGGTTATATTTTAGAGGTCGATTTGGAATACACTGAAAACTTACACAGCCAGCACAATGATTTACCATTTTGTTCGCAGAACAAAAAAAATGAAAATATGCAACAATCAAAATTGATTGCAGACTTGACAAACAAATATAATTATATAATTCACTATAGAAATTTGCAGCAATGTCTTCGACATGGACTGATTTTAAAGAAAATTCATCGAATATTACAATTTGAACAATCTGATTGGCTTAAAAAATATATTGATTGTAACAATCATCACAGAACATTGGCTGTTAATGATTTTGAAAAGAATTTTTTCAAACTGCTAAACAATGCAGTCTATGGCAAGACAATGGAGAATGTCGACAAGAGAAAATCAATTAGATTAGTGTCCAGGTGGGAGAGTGATGGTAAAAAATTGGGAGCTAGAGCACTTATCTCAAAATTTAATTTTAAGAATATATTGCAATTGGCCGATGATTTCTTTGCAATTCAAATGAAAAAAGTGCATGTTGTCTATGATAAGCCTGTCTACATTGGCTTCACCGTTCTAGAATTATCAAAATTTAAAATGTACAATTTTCACTATGACTATATGAAGCCGAAATATCAAGAAAATATAAATTTAATGTATATGGATACTGATTCTTTTATCTATGATATTAAGACTATAGATTTTTATGATGACATTCGTTTTGAAATTGATCAGCATTTCGATACTTCAGAATATGATAAGGATAATGTTTTTAAATTACCATTGATAAACAAAAAAAAATTAGGTATGATGAAAGATGAGTGCAGGGGGGATATAATAAAAGAATTTATTGGACTCAGAGCTAAAATGTATTCAATACAAGTCTCTAATATAAATAATGCTGAAACAACGGAGATAAAAAAAATTAAAGGAGTAAAGGCGAGTGTGACCTCAAAATTAACTATTAACGATTTTCGAGATTGCTTGTATAAAAAAAATAAGCAAGTTGGAACAATTTCCTTTTTTAAATCGAAATTACATCAAATTTATACGCAAGAGTATACAAAAGTCACCCTAAACTATTTAGATGATAAGCGCTATATAAAAGAGAATAATATAGACACACTTGCATGGGGTCACAAAGATATAGCCTACTAAGTTAAGCTAAAAATAAAAAAAATTGTCTTTTTTGCTTTTAAAAAATATATTACATTTTATTTTTTCGAAATAAAAATTTTAAACATAAATGACCACAGTTATATGTATTGAATTTTTGTTCATTTCTATAGTTATATTCAATGGGTGGTTTTAAATATTTCACAATTTCAATGGGCGGTTGCAAATCACCAAAACTATCATAGTATTCTTTATAATTTCTATTCTTGAAATATGCTACCCAATGCGTACCACTACCGCTTTCGTTATCTAAATTAATTATCCCACATTCGTTGGTCCATGGTTTCTTGGGGAGACGATCACGCATAAAAACACCACGAAAGTGTCTAAAATGCTGTTTACCAAAATCAATTAAATCAATATCGGTAAGTGCTTGTTTGGGTAGCATATTTATTAGTTTTTTGCTGAATATGGCTTATAAAATAGTCCATATCCTTTCTTATAAGGTTTCAAGAAAAGTCCTTTTCCCATCGCAATTGATTCCATATAGCGGTTATGACGTGTCGCTTCGGCTAATTGTTCTTTACCATTTTTGACAGCGTTTATTGCTTTAGCAACAGCAGATCCACCACTAGCAAGACCACCAACTGCACCAAGTGCAGTCAATATTGGTATCAACGGTAGGAATCCTCCAATTTTTGGTAATGGTATCACCCTCGGAATATTGGAGATATTATTCGCTAGACCTCGTCTTCGTCCTCGTTGTCCTCGTTGTCTTCGATGAAAACTAGGTGGGATTGATTGTTGAGATATCTGAATTGCTTCATCGATACTCGTAGGATTTCTTCGTTTCAAAATTCGCTTCGTTTGACTCACAATGCTTGCGAATGATTTTTTTCTTGTTTGTCGATGACGTCGACGTTGTTTTTTTTTATTACTAGCTGGTTTCCTCTTACGTTGACGTCGATGAGATTTGTTTTTAGACATACCTAGACCGAATTTAACTTTTGTTTTCATAGCGTTAGTCACAAACCAAGCAGCAGAACGTTCTTTTAGACCGCTATCTTTTGCTTGAAAACGTTCCCACGCTCTATCACCTAACATATCATCGGCCTGATGACGATTTTTCAGGTCTTTGAATTGTGAATATGCAATATCGTGCTCTCGACACGCTGCATCTAGCGGATTAATCCCTTTGTCTCCACGTTTCAAACGCTCTGCAAGTTTTGTGCCTGATATCCTGACAAATGAAGTTCAATTGGTAGTTTGTTAATCAAGTTGTTAACGAGTCCACTACCAATTCGATACTGATATGAATTTAATTTATGTTTATAATTTATACGCATTATTGCATTTCCTTTTTTTTTTTTTTGTTTTTTGT